AACAGTGGAATGGGAAAAATAAAAATGACTGGACGAGTGTTGAAACAAGTCCTAGAGTGGAGTGTTTATAATTTGGATTACAATTACACTGCGGACCTCAGAGGAGCTTTTCTTCAATTATCTGGGCTCCAGGTAAACTCCAAAAACTTTCGTATGAAAAAACTCGACCGACTTCATGTTGAATTCTCCCTTTTCCGACAATTCACGATTTTCCAATTTCTTCAGATTTTCTTACGAAAGAGGAACTTTTAAAAAATCTGCACAAAAATCGTAAGAAATTAAAATTCAAGAACTTCTTTCGAAGAAGAAAAATCTATTGATTTTTCACTGTCATATGATTTTTTTATTCTCCACTAAAATTGCAAAATCTCCAATAGAAATGACATTCAAATATTTTTTCAATTTCTACGGAAAAGTAAGAAATTTTTCTGCCCATTCTCTTCATTTGCACTCTTCAATGAAGACCTGAAAAAAAATCTTCAACAACATTTTAATAAAGCGAAATAATACAGAAAAAAGTGAACAGTGCGAGCAATAAATTCTTAAAAAAGACTGCAATTCTGTTGAGTGATGTTTTCCCATTGTTTGCAGGTGGATTACGATTTATCTCAGCCAAATGGGGCTAGAGTGGTGGCTGTTTACGCGAGATGTAGTTCATGTAGAATTCCAGTGTTTGATCCGCTCAATGATGATGAAACTTACGTTGTCCTTGCCACAGACTTCCTGCAGGCAGGTGGAGATGACTTTAAAATGCTGAAGGACTTGGAGTGGACTGCTTCAGGTAAATCCAATAATAGAATTCATTGCGAAAGATTTAATTTTTTTTCGCAACTCATTATCACTTTTCATTTGGCGCTTAAATCATTGTCGCTAATTCAGTCATCGAGGCGGTCATAATTACCTTCACAAAATTGTACTAATAATTTTCTCTTTTCAACAAGGTTTTCTCTTCTGAAATAATAGTGTCTCGTTAAAATTCTTTTACGTAATTTACGTTACAACATGGTGGAAAGCTGATGATAATATGATAATGATGAATGATTTTGTGTTAATTTACAGGTATTACTACTGATCAAGTGGTCGCCAACTACATAAAACGTCACAGTCCGGTCTACCCTGGGGTAGAATGGCGAATAAACTACATATCCACTGGAAATTCAGAGGTAACTCCAGCTGATGGCAAAGATAAGGTGACAGGGGGTAGCGGTTTGAGTTCGTTTTCATCGTTGATGTTGATACCGACGATTGCTTTAATCCTGGGTCGATGATAAATCATGAGGAGTTTCATCATTTCAAGTTTTCCACCCAATTGTCATTTCAAATCCTGCCATTGGATCAATGGAATTGAAGTAGATTCACTTATTATTTACTCAAATCGTAATTTTAGTAATTGATTCAATTCAGATTAATGATGATTCCATGAGAACTATCACTGAATTGTTTTTTTTTTATTTGATTTGATTTGAATGCCTGTTAAGTCCTCCAGACTTTGTCAATTATGATTTTAAGCCCATATCCTGGGACAGTCAAGAAATGTCTTCCATTAAAATTTTTAATACACCACGAAATTCTTTTTTTGCGCTGAGTTCAATGGATTTTCAAGGATTTTCCTTTTCCTGAGGTATTCTATATTACTTTGAATAAAATGCTCATGTAATCCCTGGGGAGAAAACGAAATAAAATTTCCCTTCTCCCTAAGAAATCATCTTCCAATTTTTATTGAACGAATTTTTTATTGAAACATATAGATTAATAAAGAAATAATAACGCACTGAAAGAATTTTGTGAGCTCGGTATTGATTCACAATAAGGGTGTGGTACATTTTAAAAATTTAGAACTGAAAACGACAGGAAATTGTATTTCCCCGTACCAATAATGAAATTTAGAGAATTCTCCAGAATTTGTGAAATTCTCAATTAAAGAAAGTGTTCGTTTTAAGTTCTGGGAAGGAAATTAGCTAATATTCCTTTTCCCTAGAAGAAATGACATTTTGATTGTCCTTTTCATGACTTATGATTTTTCATTCAAATATGGAGATTAATAAAAGAATAATTGATGATGTAAGAATAATAATGGGCCAAGGCACTTTTTAAACTTGTTTGGTAAAAAAAAATATTATCTGAAATGTGTAAATGATAAACTAAATGAAATATTCTCTTTAATATTTGAGAGAAAGCAAAATAAAATTACTATTTTTCTATGAGACATGACCGCTGCGTTTTCATCATCAAATGATTTGTCATTTTAACATGCAAAAAGTGTAATCGAATGAGTTTATGAATTCAATGATTGGTATCGATTGGCAAGAAGTGCATAGATGCGTTTCGCTGTCTCGACGACGTCGCTGACCTCGCGGCACGGTACGTCAGCGTTCATGGCGAGGACCTTCAGCATATGATTGAGATCTTTAATCATCGCAGGGCCATCCTCTACATTCCTGACGAGCGCACATTGATAATAGTAAGGTAATTTCTGCAGTGCCTTCTGTATAACCTGCGTTCGCACTACCCCAAGCCTTTGAAACTGAAAACAGACCATTAATACATTAATCCACACATAAAAATACTCATACAAAAGTCCAAGATTTTAGGCCGAAATTTCATTCAATTTTCATGGAGACTTCACAAAATCTTGAATTTCTACTGAAATTCTACTATAGAAGAATGTACCACTGCGTTAGAGCATTTTTTTGGTATAAAATTGATTCCACTCTATGTCCTTTGCTCTTCCTGACAAAATCAGAGTAAAGAATGGGAATAATATTCTGTAAGAATAACCCACATGGAAAAATCAACATTTATATGCACTTCGCTGTGAACAAATGCCTATTTAATTATTTGAATCATGCTAGAAATTCATTAAAATTACTTAAAAAATGAACAAGATGTTTCGATTTCATTTTTATACGAACTCATTTGATGGCACTGAATAGTTGATTGTTTTACACATGAATAAAATTAGCAGAAAAATCTACAGTTTAATTATCTCTTTTGAATTTCTCTTAGAACTCGACAGGAATTATCATATGTTTATTAGAATTCAATATGTTTTGTCTACCATTGTTTATTTATTTTGTCGAAAGATATTCGATAGAGGACTAGTCAAGATCTTTTGATTTTCAATTAAATTTGCATCGAAATAAAATCCTTTATCATAAAAGAAATTAAGAATGAATGATTGTTTT